TTCTTGAAAAGCACTCGCCTTGGGATGGAATTAATTAATGTCTTTGTATGTTTGCTTATTATTTCTTTGTTAAAAATGATGTATTTACTTGCGATTTTGATGTTTCGAAACGTATTCTCAACTAAATTTTGAGATTGTAATTAAATTACAAAATGTGCAAATACAGTTTCATGAATGATTAATATATTCTTGGTAATTAACAAGTATTTGTAATAAAACCATTTTTGTGTTGCTTTTATTAAATAATAATAATAAACAGCAAATAAATAGAAGAATAATAGTAGTTTTTTTATTCATTATTTTTTCGTTTACAAAAATAATTTTAACTAAAATTAGAATTTTATTATTGTTGATGAAAAAGTATTGTTAACAATGATTTGTTATTTTATTCATTACTTTTATTATAAGTAATTATTAATTTACTCGTAATTTGGTTGCATTAGTTTTTTTGTTAGTCATTATCATTTTTTCTTGATTGTGTAGATAAATGAATATGTTTTTGATAATTAAAAAGTAGTTTCAATAGAAAACATTAAACTTCACTTTTTCTTTACTTTTACAATTAATTTTAACATACTTTTAGATTATAAATAAATAGTAAAACTGTAGTTTTTTTTATCGAAATTAAGGATTTAATAAAGAGAATTTTAAAGATTTTGATTTGTTTTATTTGTATTTCATATACTCATGATTGTTTCCGTTTAAAACCCAATTTTAAATAAAATTTTATTAATTTACTTATATGTTTTTTATTTGTTTTTAAAATATTTTGATTATTATTATTGTTTTTGTTTTTATGTGATTTTGCTTTATAAGTATAAAATTTTATGCATGGTAATTATTGTTTTTTTTTTGTTGAAATTATGAATTAATTCTTGATATTGAAAATGTATTTCCAACAAAAATATTCAACTTAAACGAAATACGTATGAAACTAAAATTAGAGGCACGATTAACATCTATTCAAAAATAGTTCCACTTGTGATAAATATTAAACCTGATTTATTGGAATAATAATTCAATTCGATTGCATTTCTAACGTTTTATTGATTCCATTTATTATTTTTGGAATTTATTATGCATTTAAAAAAATCTCTTTTAGCATATTATTTTTTATTATAATACATATATGTTGCTATAGGTAGTACAGTCCGGTTTCACTATAATCGTATTGTAAACAAAATAAATTTTAAATGAGCGAATAAAAATAAATCAATTAGTCATATTTCTTTTTATGGAGTTATTTTTGTATTTATTTACTTCCTCATTATACCTTACTTTCAAATAGTACGGAACCGCACTATGTGAGTATTACTGTATTGATATTTTAAATTAAATAAGTCAATTTGATGATTCTATATTGATTTATAATGCGGACATAATGCAAATTGAATAATTTTTAATTTTTTTTTTTCTTGTTCTCAAATTAATTAGTAACCGAATAAATTATTTCATTTTTATTTATGAAAATTTTATTACTTATTGACAAGTCCATAAACTTCGAAAATTTTAAAATTTTGTATATAAAACATCATCGTTATACATTTTTTTTTTAAAATATATGTTTACTTTTCTATAATTAGATTTGATAATTAATTAAGAACACAGTCTTATATCAAAGAGAACACTTAAAATTATCCATATAACTACAAATGACAAGTATAAATTGTAAAAATTTATGATCTAAACTTTCACCGAGATTTTTGGCCAAGTAGAAATTTTCTGAAAATAGCTATTACAGTGAAAGTTATTTTTAGTAAATGTGAGTTTATTTCTGTCCCACCTGTTTCTCGCAACGTATTTAGTCCACAAAAAAGGTAATAAAATAAACAAGGTACAATACATTATCATTCCATTCCATTCACATTTTGAAACTACTCGATTTTTTAGACTTTTGCGTAAATTACGTAATTACCAACGGGGTTATTAACTCTCCGTTCGATAATCCCAAATGCATGCGAATATTTTACTCGTAACAGTTAAAATATTTCATTCATTCGTTATTTTTTTTTCTTGTACAGAATGCCGATACATTGTAAATTTTCATTATAAAAGGTCTCTCCGAATTTAATTGCTTTCACGAAACGTACTTTAGAGTGCAAGTAGGAATGGGGGATGCAGGGAGCTGTTTTTAATATTAAATCTGGAAGAATTCCTTTCACTGCTGCTTTTAATATAGTCGGGAATTCATTTGTACTTAGCTTAGTTACTGCCATGGATGATTAAATACTTTAAATTTAAATTTTTAAATCTTGAATAATATTAATACCATTTTATATGAATTATACTACTTTATGAGTGTAATCTCTAATGGTAATTGGAAAATGTAATTGTTCGAAAACAGAAATCACTCCTCTTTAAGAAATAATGCAAATTTGGATAAAACTTTTTTGAAGCCCAGACGATTGTTCACTCATTTATTAATGCGTAAAATCGACGACGTAACAAAAGCGCACAGGACAGTAACCCAAGGCACTGGAGTGAATGTCACTTTAGTCCTTCCCACTTTTGCCCTGAGTGCTTTTGTCGAGTGATACGTTTACGAAATAAATGAAAATAAATAAAATACAATAAAAATAACATAATTTTATTATTAATTTCATCTCCATGGGAGAAATTTGATGAAGTGAAGAAAAATAAGAAAATCACATTTTTTTTATTTGTATTTATGTTCGGGAACCGAATACTTTGTAAATTTCTAAGTTTTTCTCGAGATTTCATGAAACGAATTTCCGATTTCAAATAAGAATGGAGATTTTAAGATACCGTTTTTAATATTAAATCTGATATAATGCCTCTCTATAATACATCGAATTAGCATTTAGGAACCGAAATTTTGTTCGGAAACTGAAATTATGTTTCAGATCGGTTACTGTTTTTGCTTATTATTTACATTCCGGAACCGAATTATTTGATATTATGTTGTTTAAGAACAAAGTTTTTATTATATAAGCATACTATTGATTTGCTTCCTACTATTAACATACTTATTTGGATTAATATCAAGTTTCTAATAGCTTCATTTTTTATTTGTTCGTCAACCGAATACATTGTACATTTCTACCTGAGATTTCACAAAACAAATTGAAATAGGAATGGAGGTTTCACAATACTATTTTTAATATTTAATCTGATATAACGCCTATGCACAATAGATCTGATAATCACTTGGGAATCAAAATTTTGTTCGGGAACTGAAATTATGTTCGTTAACCGATGTGTTTTTGATTGTTATTTACGTTCGGAAACCGAATTAATAGATATTCATGTTGCTGAAGAAAAAGTTTTTATTGTATAAACATACTATTGATTTACTTCCTACTATTTACATACTTATTTGGATTAATACCAAGATTGTTGTAGCTCGAGTAATGAAAATAGTAGAGAAATTTCAGAAAGTGAAATTTTTCATTGTAAAACGCTACATTTTTTGTTTATGTTCGGGAACCGAATACATTTCAAAGTTCTCCCTGAGATTTCAGATTTCAAATAGGAATGGAGATTTCATGATACTGTTTTTAATATTAATTCCTCTCTATAATACATCTGATTACTACTTGGGAACCGAAATTTTGTTCGGGAACTGAAATTATGTTTCTTAACCGATGTGTTTTTGCTTATCATGTAAGTTCGGAAACCGAATTATATGATATTCAAATTGTTTAAGAAAAAAGTTTTTATTGTATGACCCTACTATTGATAACAAGTATGTTATAGCTTCGAGTAACGAAAATAGCAGAGAAATTTCGGAAAGTCGAAATTTTCATTGTGAAATGGTACATTTCTTATTTGAATTTATGTTCGAGAATCGAATACATTGTAAATTTCTAAGTTCTCCTCGAAATTTCACGGCATTATATTAAATAATCTGAAATTATGTTTGTTAACCGATGCGTTTTTGTTTATTATTTACGTTCTTGAACCAAATTACTTGATATTCATGTTGTTTAAGAACAAAGTTTTTGTTCTATAAGCATACTATTGATTTACTTCCTACTATTCACATACTCATTTGGATAAATACCAACTTTGTTATAGCTTTGAGTAACGAATATAGCGGAGAAATTTCCAGATTTTTTTTGTACTAAATGGTTGTTATTTGTTTACAATTCTTGTATGTGGGACGACGGAAAGAATAAAATCCTTGGATAGTCTCCAAATATACTTCCTTTTTCTTATACCCTCGTCATGTTGTCTACATTTATATACATAATATATATTTTATATACACATTATATATATAATATATACATGTTACAATTCCGTATATGAACAAAACTAATAATCATTTCCGTATCCGTGGGTTTTAATAAAATTTAATTTCTACTTCACTTTTATTGCGATTTCATCATACGTTTGTACTAGTTTCATCCTACATTATTTTTTGTAGTAATAACATTTTGTAGATTGTGATCGTAACAATAATACGACTTGTATTTACGTAACAGTAATTAATTAATGTTTCAGCATTAATTGAAAGCGATTTATAAACTGCGGATCTCCTAGGGTTTTGGTCTGAGAATTAATTAACGTATTTTGCATTTAATCAATCCATCTTGGTTCACCCATCAAGCTTGATTTGTTTTTATAAAAATAGATCCGAACGTTACAGCTAACCTTAATTTCCGTAGGTCAAACAATAGAAACTAATTGAATAATGATTTATTCGGATAATATAAAATCAGATCTCCACGATTCAATGCGCAATTTAAAATTCTTCTATGGAAATCGATATTATACCTATAACACTTTCATTCAAGTCGAAGTGAATTGAGGTCGCCTTCGGGGTATGAGTTCTTATCATTTGAAGGGCGTCCGACCGTCTTTTGTAAACCGATTTTATGCTTGACTCTCCTTTGAGTACTTAAGGTTCAAGGACTTGGACGATCGATAATTGCATTAGTTTCAAGTTAACTGAAAATAAGTTATATAACTCTGTTCTAAGGTAGCTTGCATTACTTGAAACTCAATATATTACATTTGTTTTCTTCTCTTTTCAGATCGATATCAAGGATAGTCTTACAGATATATTTTATCCAGGATATCTTAAACTTCGGATAAGTACGTACTCTATTTCTATTTTACATTATAATAAATCTAGAAGAAGGAAATTTATTGGAATGAATTGTTTATTTTAATTTTTGTATTACAATTAATATTATATAGTAAACCAACAAATTCTGATTAACTATTGAAAATATATATACGAGGGGTCTAGTCTAACAAAAGTTTGCTAAATTGGCTGAAAAAAAAACAAAATGAAAACAATTTTATTTTAATATGTTTAATTTTCATCCTTTTGTAATTTCTCTACATAATTACCATTTGTTTCAATACATTTATTAAGTCGCTCCACCATACAAAACATTCCTCAAAATGGCTTTTTGGTGCTTTCAACTTTTAATTAATGATCTTTTCATTGAACCTGAAGACTTTTTACTTCTTTTTTTTTTAAATTTTTGGAAACAGCCAGAAACGACAAGGCGCTAGGTAGAGTAAGGTGCTAGGCGAATTTCATTGATACCAGAGAGCGCAAGAAAGTTGTTGGTTATTTTCATTAGTGTAAGTGGGCGCATGATACTGATATAAAAAATAGCAAAGAAGTTCCCTTTTTTTCTTGTTTCCCAACAAATTTTTGAAAACTTGTAATAAGCAAGTTTCTGTGTACTACTTAGCTACAGAGGGTAAGACGAGTATTACGAGTGAGATAGCAGCTACCACTTTTACTCCTCTGGTAGAATAAATCGACATCATCATTTTTGTTGCTTTGCTTTGGGGGGATTTGCACCTTCTGCACTCCATACCATGCACTGCTGCTTGGTTTCCAGGTCATACTTATAGAATCAAGATTTATAACCTGTTACGATTTTACTAAAAGTGCTAGAATCTACAATTATTATTTGGTTGTCATTTAAAAATCCTGGAACCCATCGAGCGAATTTATTCATGAAGCCAAAGTGATGATTTAATATTTGCGACAAAGCCATAGTATTCAAAGCCAGTTCATCAACTACCTCTTCCTGTGTCACTCTTGGATCTTCGTCAATGTTTGTCTTCACCAGGGCTACATTTCTATCATCGGTCGAAGATTTCGGGCAACTTTCACGAGGGAAATAGTCACAAGGCATTCACTCCATATACATTTGTATATGCTTGAGTTGACATCGAAATTCATAGAGAATGACAAAATGCTGTATTGGTGGTGGAATTTCTAACAACCTTAACTCACTAATCTTGTATTTTCTCCTATCCATTATTACCGATCTTCTTGAAATTTGACATGAAATATTGTTAGACTTTAGCAAATTGTTTTTTCAAATACAAATTAATTAATGCGATTTTTATGTAATAGGACTTTCCGCCCTTAATTAAATAAACCAAATATGTTGAAAATAAAAAAATCATAAAACAATAAAATTTTGCAATAATATCTTATAGTCTAAAAAATACAGTAATTGTACTAAAATATTATAGTTAATAAAAAATAAAGTTTTTCATTTAATTATTTTTTTCTGTAATTTTATTATTGTTAAAATACATTTTGTTATTATAATTGTTAAATATTTGTAAAAGTTAATTAATTTCGGATTTGATTAATCTGATGGTTAATTTGGACCAGTTAATTTAGAGGAAAATCACATAAAGAAGTTAATAAAATAAGTAATTTCTGTATATCCATATCACAGGAAAGTAAAATTATCAGATTTTTTCGTAAATTTCATACTTTTTAATCTGTACTTATATATGTAATTTTATAATTGATGACAGGTAAAAAAAATATAATTTATTTACAAAAATGCTTAATTTTTTAACAGTTGCTTAAATTGGACCGCTTAATTTAGATGAAATAAATATAGAAAAATAACAAGTAGTTTCGATAAATTCATATTACAGTATGGATATATTTTTTGATATAATTTTGAAGGAATTAAATAATTTTTAATACCTCTATTTTTTTCTTCATTTAAATATTCTTTTCAATTGAAAAAAATGTTTATATGTTTTGTATATTTATAAAATTATAGCATTGAATAAAAGATTAAATCTCGACATTTCTTTCAGTGATAAAATTAATCTATTATGTGTATTACACGAAAATGTATAACACATACATGAAAATTTAGCTTTTACAATAATTCATCAAAATTTATGTGATGTATTTCACTAGAATTATTTCTGTACTATTAAAAAAAATACATATCTATTTTTCTACAAGCAATTAATAAATTCTATTGGAAAATAAATCTTAGTGTGTGTTTTGCTCGGAACATATATCAAACTATTATGCCCAGAAAATGGAGAACACAATTAATTCTCGCGTATTTCACGAGCCATGTCAGAAGTATGTTAAGCGATTCGCTACACGCCATATATCAGAGCTCCTCAATTGAAACGCTTAACCACCTCATTAATTGTCCGATACATCAACATAACACAGCAATAGCCAAGTTATTTCTCAATAGCTACAACCTATTAATTGAATAGAAATAAATTTATAAACTAATTAATCCATACCGCGTGACCTTGAGCTACCACCCATCATCCAAGGCAGACATTCATTCTCCGCACCATGAATATTCATTGTATAACAAACAAATGCCGAATGAATTGCGTTATTCTACCTAACATAATAATCTTCATGCATAACTAATGTGTAAATCTCAGATTATGTAAAATCTATGTGATAATGGTATATTTCATCCTCTGCAGACTAATGTTTCCATTTGTTATCATTTCTATGTTGTACAGCAACGAATTCACTACATAAAATAATTTTTGTTTTTAGTCCAGTTACAAATAATCCGGGTTATGGAACAGTTTACTTGCATTATGAGAGGTATTTAGTTCCTCAATTAGTCTGCCTGGTTTTATATAGACCGCGATATTGGCAGAACCGCACTATGTTACTGTTTTTAAATGACATTTGACATATTATTTTATGAATTTTATTCACTGTGCTTTTCACTTTTTTTTTTATTAAATTAGTAAAATATTGTTATATAATATTTTTTTATTTGAATTTATAAATTATTTTGTACTAAAATAAATTATTTGAAAAAAAGGAAGTAAATTGTTTTTCGATTAGAATAAGAATGGAAGTATTGTAACGTTACAAGGTGGTAATATTATAAGTGCTTCTATCGTTTGAGAATGGAAAATTCCTACTAGTTTTCAGATCGGAAAATGCTTCAATGGAAACATTCCGGAAATACTTGAGCCATTTATGTGTGCTAAGACTCGTGTATTTCTTTCAAACACGCGAGACTCGTAATTAAATAAAGTTGAATATACAAAGAAAATTTAAATTTACACGTAATTAGACTAATTGCAGTGAAAATGTAAATTTATTTCTTGCATTTCTACTATAATGTTTTATATTTCAACATTTCCAATTTTAAAATTTAAATATTTACATTCATTCATTCAAATTATAGTTATTATTTAACAAAACTTGTTTATATAAAACAGTCAACTTTAAAAAAGTTCTGTCTTTATACAATCTCATTTTGTGTAGTTCATTTTTATTCGGTTTCCAAGTCCTCAATCAGTCCGGTTTCAAACAGGATATGTGTGGTATCATTGGGTTGGTGCATAATTGCGTTTTTGTAGGCCAATTTTTTGTTAATAAAAATTGCTGTTTTCTTTATTTAACAAAATATTTGAAGTAGATGAAGAAATGTTGTTTAAAAACGCCTGATAATTATTATACTTAATTTGCATATGGTAGTTAATTTTAAATAGTAAAACTATTGTTTGAAACAGGACGATAATTGGAATTGTGGTATTATTATGTGATGAAAATAGTATCAAGGTTTTCATAAGTTAGGAGTGGAAAATATTTACTGTTTTTCAGATCGATGCAATGAAAATTCCAGAAATGTTTTAACATTTTATGTGTTATGTAATGTTAAGAGCTTATGCATTTCTCTCGCCACGTGGGATTCGTTATAAAGTTGAATTCGCAAAGGAAATTTAAATCCAGACTAATTACAATTAAAAGAGAAAATGCATTTCATTGTAAATTACTGTTAGTTGCATGTATGCTTTTAGTACTTAATTAATTATTTGTATATTTTAATTTAATGTATTTTGTGTTATAAATATTGTAGAAATTACAGAAATGATTCAAATAGTACGGATTCTATCAGTCCGGATTTACTATAGTCCAAATTTCCAAACAAACTGCAAATTACAATACAATTATATTTGTATACGTAAATAATTGTTTTTTTCTCTTTATTCATGGATTAGTCCGGTTTCAAACAGTCCGAGATATTGGCGGAAAAAAAAAGGAAAAACTAGATGTAAGTATCATTTTTAGTTACGTTTAAGAAACTTTAGTTAAAAACGGAAGAACAGGTGTTAAGATCAAATCGTCAATTACAAATGACACTTGAACATTGGATTCCCTCTGTTCTTTCACACCGTAAAAATTCCAGAAATGCCTGAACCATTTGTTTGCTTTTATGTAAAATTAAGATTTTTTACATTTCTCTCTCCAAGCGAGACTCGCAATGAAATAAAGTTGAGTATACAAAGAAAGTAATAGCATAATTTAAATTTCTTACATAAATACGGCTGGCTGCATTGGAGATACAAAAGTTTTTTTAAGCATTGCAGGTGTAATTTATTCTGTTAAGGTTTTCCTTTTCGTTTACGCTTATTTCAATTGGATTATGGTTGTAGTTGTTATAAAAACATTTCAGTTTAATAAATATATAATTGCGCAAAAAACATCATAGTTTAAAATTTAAATACCTTGCATAGTCCGAATTTATTGAATTTGTCAAAATATACTATTTTTTAGTATCCAAAATAAATTTAAAGAAATATTACACAAAATATGTTATTATACTTTCTTACATATTAAGAAATATTTATTTTTTCAATTTACATTTTGCAGATTTTCTTTTGAAGAAAATTACTTTTTACTATTACTTTTTTTACTATTTTATGGAAAAACAATCTTAGCAATTATTTTATACTTAAATTACAGAAAGAGTTACAATGAAAAAGTCAATTTTCATCTTTATTCATTTTCGGTACATTTTGTGCGTTGTAACATTTATTACGTTTTCTGACGATGTAAGGAAACATAATAAAACTATAATTTTGACCCGTTCATACATTAGATGTATTTATTATAAAATTTCCTAAAATTCTTCATAATCTGCAACAATTAAAAAAAATAAGAAAAACTCAAAACTTATCACTATTTCAAAAACTGACAGCTGGTGTTCAAAAGAACGTGAAAAAATACGATAATGGGCAGTGGCGTAACAATTAGTGAGTGGGCTCTTAGCAAAGTTGAGGGCTCTATCGAATTTCAATTCAATTTAGTGCCGACAATCAAAAACCACTGGATGCTACGTCACTGAAGATAAAGTTAATTTGTATATATGCATCAGTACGAAATAATTGATAAATTAATTAATCTTCTTATCCTAACAAAATGCAAATCTAATCCAGCTTATCCTATTATATAACGCTAAATATATTTTTAATTAAAACTAATTTCAAGTAAAAAATATTGAATCTAAATATTATTACAATTTGATGTTTATCGATTTAAATGCATATTGATTTAATTAGAATTAATGGAAAAATTATGTTTATTTTGATAAAAAAAAGACCTGAAATGTTCCTTTTATATTAATAGTGCTGAGTGAAATAATGAATATTTTCGATTAGAATAATTATTACTTTTTTTTTTATTATTATTGCACTTGTAATAAGATTATTCAATTAAATAAATGGAATACATTTTCTTTTATCACTGTATAATTTCAGATTGGGTTTATTTAGCACGTGCACGTGAATAACATTGAAGAGAAGGAAAGAGAGTTGTAGGAAGCGGATGGAGAAGGAGAGAGCATAAAGGGAGAGGACTCGAAGGGATTGTAACTATCTTGGCAAAAAGGACTATCGTAAAATCGTATAAATCTTTCAGGCCATTTATAAACGGTTTCTTTGCTGCGACTTTCTTTCTTCCCATCTCTTCCCTTTTCCTCCTGATTTTTCTTTCTTATTTCATCCCGAAGTGGAACTCTGTTTCTGGCATCAAAAACGTGCTTGTTCCTCCTCCAGCAGCGACGATTCCGTCCAACTTGCTAATGCTGTTATAATCCGTTACTTAATTGATGGACGTTCGCGGACAAAATTGTTTCAACTTTGTCGCCAACCAGTAATTACGCATTACGCTTTTGAGTCTATTCAATTAAAAAAACTTCCCCATTATAAACAATATGCAATTAGGAATGCGCTCGGAAAATTTTCGTAATTAAAAACAATCGATTGGAGGCGTCTGCGAGGCGAGAACACAAACTGGAACGAACCATAAATTCGGTGTGAAAATACCCGTGTAACGTTTGTGTTTTGTTCTGAGGGACAGAGATAATCTCCACATTTATCTGGATCTCTGCCGGAAAACGCGGAAAAATCTTTAAGCTATTTTCGGAGACCGAAAACGAAAAACGGAGCGCACGAAATGTGTCGAGACGATGGAACTATGGTAACGTTGTCAGGTGGTAATAGTATCAAGAGGTCTTCGCCCGTTTACAGGTGACGCACGGATGGGGATTCCCACTGTTATTCGGACCGTAAAATGGTGCAATGCTTGCAATTCCGGAAACACAGGAGCTTTTTAAAATGCGTTATTGTCAAAGTTAAAAGCTTGTGAATTTCATCGCGCAAGATTAAAAGTATGGCATAAATAAAATCTATACATTTTCGGTACTTTTTCGAGTGTAGATTATTAGATTAAAGTTACTTAAACACTCTTAAGTTCATTCTGGTATTGCTTTCTTAATAAAAGGGAAACCATTAACAATTTTTGTAAAAATATAACAAAATTATTGTTATAATTCTTTAATAATTTTTATTATTAATTACTAATGTTTATTTATAGAAGTAAATTTGCTCATACATAATGAGAGCATAAAAAAACAAAAAACATACCTCGCATAGTCCGGATTCAATGATACAGTCCGGTTTGAATTTGAATTGTTTATGCATAAAAAATCGTTTACTCAATTAGTTTGGAATGTGCGAGGTATAGAAAAAATATGTATAAATCCGCAATGTTTCTCTTTAAACAAAGTATATAAAAAAATATGACTGTAATTAAATTAAATCAATAAGAAAAAAGGTACTTTTTCATTTTTCAATATTTATGATATTTTATTTCAAAGATTGCTTAACATCATTTGATTCTTTATTGGATTATAATCAACATTCGTATTTTATAAATAAATAAAATTAGTACAACAATACCTAGCATAGTGCGGCTTTGATAAAAATGGATTTACTATAGTCCGTTTTGAAAATTAAAAAAAAAATAGTAATAGTAAATAACCGCTTTATTTCTTTATATACAGTCAAGTCACTTTATGTGAACTTAATTTTTATATGGATTTAATGTCCTTAATTAGTGCGGCGATCGAATCTAAGCATCATAATGGTAAACTATCCACCGGGAAAGATTACCTACCTAATGTCAACCGCGATCTTAAATTTACTCAATGTTCACATTGATGAACAGATTGTAAAAAAAATTACACGACATAAAAAAAAATATGCGGTTTGAAACAGTGCGGGATATTGAACTATATTAGTTGTGTTCTATAACAAAACCTATATAGTTACATAATTAATGATTCGTTAATTTGTATAATTGTGAAATAAATAGAGTTGAATTTATTTTATTAATAAATTATTGCAAACAAGAAAATACATACACATATTTAAATAATGAATATTGATTTATTTAATTGTATTTGCACATGCAATTTTAACAAATTATATAAATTTATTATTTTAAAATTATTTATTTCATTTACACGTTTATAGAAAATAATACTTTTTGTTTTTATTGAAAGAATAAATTCAATGACTTTTTTTAGTTCGTTACTTACGAACTCCCGATTTACGAACAAATTTCTAAAACTCTAACTTTCCACAAGGAGATATATAGTGTTAAAAATTAAATGTCAAAGTAAAAATTGATAATTTCTGTAATCAAATATAATATTTTTCTTAAATAATTATGATTTCTACATTGAAAAGTATTTGTAAGTAAGTTTATTTAAATCCATTTTATTAAATTTATGCAGCCAGTAAAACGGAATTAAAAAATATATAAAAGTAAAAATCATGATAAAGTGTGGTAAGATAAGTATATTTTGATTTTTTTTTTAATTCTCCAGACTTACGAACAAATTTGATTGACGAACAACTCTTTGGAATGGAACTACTTCTAAATCTGGAGACAACTCTATTTTATTGTATTCTCTAGAGCCGAATCGAAGGTATGAAGCGCTTTTAGCAATTGTCCTTGCGCCTTCCTTATCTAAAATTGAAAAGTAAAAAAGTAAAAAGTTAAACTACTCGAGTTGCGCCAGCATCGCAATGTCCTAGTTACGACGCTGGTATTCATAAACTTTGTTATGTCATCTGAGCTTTGCGAAGACTCATTAATTGTTAAATTGCATTAGTAAATAAATTAGTAATGCAATTATTTTTCTAATCAGGGAAATAAGTATAATAATAAAATGTTTCATAGGATATCTTATTTCTTACTTTTTATAGTTGTAATTAAGATTATTGCAATAGATGTTATAATTATTAATAAAATGTTATTTAATGGTTTAATATGTCACTTTGGCTGTAATGGGGCAAATAATAATTGTAAAAAATAGTAATATTTTTATTAAATATTCGTTACTCGTGTTGCGTCTATGAGATGCCAGTGAGTACAAACCAACCATAACTTTTAAAATTGGAAAATCGGAGTTACCCGACCTATAACGTTCTTTATACTATCTGTCGCAAAATATTCTTCTAAAACATATATAATGAAATTAAAATTAAACATCGTTTATATGTATTGAATATATGTTTTTGAGTTTCTCTTAATTAATTTCTGTTATCAAAGTTACAAAAAGTTAGATTAGGTTAGTCTTTTATGTAATTTTTCCAGACTTTTTGTTCCCGGGAAATGTAAATTAAATTAAATTTCTTCAAAACACTGGGATTTAGTGACTTTCGTATTATTTAGAAGAGAACAGAACGAAAACAATGTTTGTGCATTGTCCTCGTTCCAGAATTTAGATTAAGGGTACTTTATACAATTTACGCTTATATAAACGCACGTTAAGTGTGTTTCAACGTGTATGTCAAAATTCATATTTGACTATAATTAATATTGAAATAGACCAAACACGTTTATTCATGTAATACAGTTTGTGCGAAAAAAGAGTTCTGCCTAAATAATAGTTTGATGCATT